CTTAACCACCACACCACCTGCAGGCCCTGGAATGCTTTTGCCAATCTCTGGATGATAGGGTTTTGTACATTCAGACTCCAGCTCAAATGGTATGGCCATCTTCCAGGCCAGTAAGTAGCATGGTGGTAAAAATGTTGGACTTTCACCTGGGTGACTCAATGGTTTGAGTCTCAGATCTCATGGCTTGAAAAACATGCTGGGTGCATGTACGTACATGCTTGAAATCCCAAGAGGACGGGGCCAATGGGTGGCATGGTGACTAAGGTGCTAGACTCCCACATGGCTGACCATGGTTCAAGTCCTGGACCTAGTGGCTTGCTTTCTCACTTTCCTCCTCTCTCTGTGTGTCTCTCTGGCCAAATTAAATAATAATAATAAATAAAATGTAAAAAAAATCCTAAGAGAATAGAGAAGGGATTATGGAGTGGCCATTTTCCTTGGGAGGTGCTTTCTCATTTCCTCCCTCTCTCTCTCTCTCTGTTGAGTACACATGCCCTATAGGAAACTTAAAACAAAAAAATTCCAGGGAACCACTCTGGTTCTCTGAATAATGAAAATGTATTTGCCTAAAACATGTCTCAGTCTATTGGCAGAGTACAAATTCAATGTAATTGTGGAATTGCCTTTTGAAATACTTAACCAGCCTTTCTCCATCCAGTGAAAGATTTCCAGCATGCTCTCCTTTATAAAATGGGTAAACGAGTGACTATTAAAAAAAAATACTATAGGGCACATGCACTTGCTAGAAAGAGCGCGAAGGGGACGGAGGGAGGGAGGGAGAGAGATAGCGCGCTAGTTCTTGGGGATGGGGAAGAGGATGGTCATGCCACAATCTCTTCTCCATTTTCTAGAAATTTTTTTTTAATAGTTCTTCTCCATTTTCTAGAAATTTTTGGACACACACACACACACACATCTCATGAGTTTTTCCAGCCCCTGGGTCTGGGACTTGAACTGTGGTTGGCCATGTGGGAGTCCAACACCCCAACCACTATGCCACCTGTCGGCCTCACAGTGATTTTTTTTTTTGGGGGGGGACAAATTAAAAGTCATTTTATTAATTTATTCTGCATCAATGCATTCACTTTTTAAAAAATAATTTATTTTGGGAGCCAGCAGTTAGCATAATGGCTATGTCGCTGGACTCCCATGTAGTCGACTGCAGTTCGTGTCCCGGACCCGGTGGCTTAGAACTCACGCCGGGTGCGTGTGCGTGCGTTCCCAAGATCCTGAGAGGAGAATGGAGGAGAAGGGATTGTGGCGTGACCATCCCCTCTGGGGGGTGAGTTCTCACTTTCTGTCTCTCTCTCTGTCTCTGTCTGTCTGGCGAGCGCACACACCCTATAGCGAAAACCTCTCCAAAAAAAAAAAATTATATATATATATTTTTACATTTTCCTACATTTACTTTATATATCAAAAAAATTTTGCTTGGGACCAGCAGTTAGCATAATGGCTATGTCGCTGGACTCCCACATGGTCGACCACAGTTCGCGTCTTGGACCCGGTGGCTTAAACTCATGCCGGATGCGTGTGCGTGCGTGCCC